CAATGAGGTAACCACACCCACCAGTGAGGTAACCACACATCCACCAATGAGGTAACCACACATCCACCAATGAGGTAACCACATCCACCAGTGAGGTAACCACATCCACCAGTGAGGTAACCACACATCCACCAATGAGGTAACCACATCCACTAGTGAGGTAACCACACATCCACCAGTGTGGTAACCACACATCCACTAGTGAGGTAACCACAGCTACCACACATCCACCAGTGAGGTAACCACAGCTACCACACATCCACTAGTGAGGTAACCACACATCCACTAGTGAGGTAACCACACATCCACTAGTGAGGTAACCACACATCCACCAGTGAGGTAACCACACATCCACTAGTGAGGTAACCACACATCCACCAGTGAGGTAACCACACATCCACTAGTGAGGTAACCACACATCCACTAGTGAGGTAACCACACATCCACTAGTGAGGTAACCACACATCCACCAGTGAGGTAACCACACATCCACTAGTGAGGTAACCAGACATCCACCAGTGAGATAACCACACATCCACCAGTGAGGTAACCACACATCCACTAGTGAGGTAACCACACATCCACCAGTGAGGTAACCACACATCCACTAGTGAGGTAACCACACATCCACTAGTGAGGTAACCACACATCCACCAGTGAGGTAACCACACATCCACCAGTGTGGTAACCACACATCCACCAGTGAGGTAACCACACATCCACCAGTGAGGTAACCACACATCCACCAGTGAGGTAACCACACATCCACCAGTGAGGTAACCACACATCCACCAGTGAGGTAACCACACATCCACTAGTGAGGTAACCACACATCCACTAGTGAGGTAACCACACATCCACCAGTGAGGTAACCACACATCCACTAGTGAGGTAACCAGACATCCACCAGTGAGATAACCACACATCCACCAGTGAGGTAACCACACATCCACTAGTGAGGTAACCACACATCCACCAGTGAGGTAACCACACATCCACTAGTGAGGTAACCACACATCCACTAGTGAGGTAACCACACATCCACCAGTGAGGTAACCACACATCCACCAGTGTGGTAACCACACATCCACCAGTGAGGTAACCACACATCCACCAGTGAGGTAACCACACATCCACCAGTGAGGTAACCACACATCCACCAGTGAGGTAACCACACATCCACCAGTGAGGTAACCACATCCACCACACATCCACCAGTGTGGTAACCACACATCCACCAGTGAGGTAACCACACATCCACTAGTGAGGTAACCACACATCCACTAGTGAGGTAACCACAGCTACCACACATCCACCAGTGAGGTAACCACACATCCACCAGTGAGGTAACCACACATCCACTAGTGAGGTAACCACAGCTACCACACATCCACCAGTGAGGTAACCACACATCCACCAGTGAGGTAACCACACATCCACCAGTGAGGTAACCACACATCCACCAGTGAGGTAACCACACATCCACCAGTGAGGTAACCACACATCCACCAGTGAGGTAACCACATCCACCACACATCCACCAGTGAGGTAACCACACATCCACTAGTGAGGTAACCACACATCCACCAGTGAGGTAACCACACATCCACTAGTGAGGTAACCACACATCCACTAGTGAGGTAACCACACATCCACTAGTGAGGTAACCACACATCCACCAGTGAGGAAACCACACATCCACTAGTGAGGTAACCACACATCCACTAGTGAGGTAACCACACATCCACCAGTGAGGTAACCACACATCCACTAGTGAGGTAACCACACATCCACTAGTGAGGTAACCACACATCCACCAGTGAGGTAACCACACATCCACTAGTGAGGTAACCACACATCCACCAGTGAGGTAACCACACATCCACCAGTGTGGTAACCACACATCCACCAGTGAGGTAACCACACATCCACCAGTGAGGTAACCACATCCACCACACATCCACCAGTGAGGTAACAACACATCCACCAGTGAGGTAACCACAGCTACCACACATCCACCAGTGAGGTAACCACAGCCACCACACATCCACCAGTGAGGTAACCACAGCCACCACACATCCACCAGTGAGTTAACCACACATCCACCAGTGAGGTAACCACACATCCACCAGTGAGGTAACCACACATCCACCAGTGAGGTAACCACATCCACCACACATCCACCAGTGAGGTAACAACACATCCACCAGTGAGGTAACCACACATCCACCAGTGAGGTAACCACAGCCACCAGTGAGGTAACCACATCCACCAGTGAGGTAGCCACACATCCACCAGTGAGGTAACCACACATCCACCAGTGAGGTAACCACAGCCACCAGTGAGGTAACCACATCCACCAGTGAGGTAACCACATATCCACCAGTAAGGTAACCACACATCCACCAGTGAGGTAACCACACATCCACCAGTGAGGTAGCCACACATCCACCAGTGAGGTAGCCACACATCCACCAGTGAGGTAACCACAGCCACCACACATCCACTAGTGAGGTAACCACAGCCACCAGTGAGGTAACCACATCCACCAGTGAGGTAACCACATCCACCAGTGAGGTAACCACACATCCACCAGTAAGGTAACCACACATCCACCAGTGAGGTAACCACACATCCACCAGTGAGGTAACCACATCCACCAGTGAGGTAACCACAGCCACCTACATCCCACACAATCTCTGCAAGTTTTACACCGTAAATAAAATTTCCAAAAAAAAACTGAACAGTTAATAAACATCGCATGTTGAAGATTAGACCATTCAGGCGAAAGTTTTATTTAAACAAGCATACACGATTTTCTTTCCTAAAATCTCTCAACGGTGAACACAGTTTGATGCATTACCCAGAACTCAATATTTGTTTTAGATTTTCAATTGTAGGAGAAATCTTGGAATCGCATTCTGGCGTACAATTTTAGAAACAATTAGGTTTCAAGTCGGACACAACAAGTTGACTCGAGCTCTTGAGGAGAGTTTTCGGGGCCCTTTTCTTCAATTCCTGCCATGTTTTTTTTTGGCCATCTTCCATGTCTCGAGAAAAAAAAAAATGACGAGAACCCAGCGAAGACTAGGTCGTATTTTTATTTGGAGAATCGAATTTCTTCCGATAATAATCGATTCCTCCCCCGATGTAATTGTTTGCAATGAAGAATGTCAACAATTGCACAAAAGGGATGGAAAACGTTTCGCTACGAATGCTTTTCTCACCCCGGCTCTCGTGTACATTGTGTTAAAACTGATTTACAAAGAGAATTTAGATCTAGTCTACTTAGACTGGAGATTTAAGCCTAAATTTACTTAAGCAGGAGATTTAAAGTCTAAAATTACTTCGACAGGAGATATACAACCTAACTTTACTGCAACAGGAGATTTACAACTTAAATTTACTAGCCTCCTTAACAGGAAATTTACAACCTAAATTTACTTCGACAGGAAATTTACAACCTAAATTTACTTTCTTTGTGATAAAAATTCGTTCCTTTTTTCATACTCTAGCTTCTAGTTACGTATATAGCGAACTCATCCATACCTAACTCTAACCTAAGCCACATCACTAGTAATGGCATTTAACCTAAACTATATCCACAGGGCTAGCATGAAAGCATCAAACGTTTCCCATATGTTATGTCGGTATGGTGAATCAAGCGTTTCCCATATGTTATGTCGGTATGGTGAATCAAGCGTTTCCCATATGTTATGTCGGTATGGTGAATCAAGAGTTTCCCATATGTTATGTGGGTATGGTGAATCGATATGAACCTACTCCAACGGATGCCGGCAACTATACAATTGCTTCAAGATACGAATTAGATAATGCGCGGTGTGCGATTATTTCTCAAGCGAGATACGAGAAATGTTTGTGTACATCGATACAACAACTATGGTGGTTTGGTCGCAATTTACCCGTGATAACAACGATAACATTACAGCAGAAAGTGGTTTGAAACAACGTCCGAGTATAGTGGGGAAACTTGCTTGATAAAATAAGGGGAAAGTTGATAAACTTGCTTAATAAAATAAGGGGAAACTTACTTGATAAAAGGGGGGGGGGGGAAACTTAGTTGATAAAAAGGGGGGGGGAACTTAGTTGATAAAATTAGGGGAAACTTACTTAATAAAATAAGGGAAACTTGCTTGATAAAATAAGGGGAAACTTGATAAAGGGGGGGGGACTTACTTGATAAAATAAGGGGAAAGTTGATAAACTTACTTGATAAAATAAGAGGAAAGTTGATAAACTTACTTGATAAAATAAGGGGAAAGTTGATAAACTTGCTTAATAAAATAAGGGGAAACTTGATAAAGGGGGGGGGGGGGGACTTACTTGATAAAATAAGGGGAAAGTTGATCAACTTACTTGATAAAATAAAGGGAAAGTTGATAAACTTACTTGATAAAATAAGGGGAAACTTACTTGATAAAAAAGGGGGGGGGGACTAAGTTGATAAAAGGGGGGGGGGGGGGACTTAGTTGATAAAATTAGGGGAAACTTACTTAATAAAATAAGGGGAAACTTACTTGATAAAATAAGGGGAAAGTTGATCAACTTACTTGATAAAATAAGGGGAAAGTTGATAAACTTACTTGATAAAATAAGGGGAAAGTTGATAAACTTACTTGATAAAATAAGGGGAAAGTTGATAAACTTACTTGATAAAATAAGGGGAAAGTTGATAAACTTACTTGATAAAATAAGGGGAAAGTTGATAAACTTACTTGATAAAATAAGGGGAAAGTTGATAAACTTACTTGATAAAATAAGGGGAAAGTTGATAAACTTACTTGATAAAATAAGGGGAAAGTTGATAAACTTACTTGATAAAATAAGGGGAAAGTTGATAAACTTACTTGATAAAATAAGGGGAAAGTTGATAAACTTACTTGATAAAATAAGGGGAAAGTTGATAAACTTACTTGATAAAATAAGGGGAAAGTTGATAAACTTACTTGATAAAATAAGGGGAAAGTTGATAAACTTACTTGATAAAATAAGGCTTTTCATGGACGTCAAGTGCTGCCTCCCATCCGTACGGCAACCCGGAAGTGTTTTGCCAGTTTTCTCGTGGAGGTAGCCATGATGTGGTCTGTGTCTTGTGGCTGTGGGGACAGAAAATGTGAAACATGACATCTGTGTCTGTGGGGACAGAAAATGTGAACCATGACATGTGTGTCTTGTGGCTGTGGGGACAGAAAATGTGAAACATGACATGTGTGTCTTGTGGGGACAGAAAATGTGAAACATGACATGTGTGGCTGTGGGGACAGAAAATGTGAAACATGACATGTGTGTCTTGTGTCTTGTGGGGACAGAAAATGTGAAACATGACATCTGTGGCTGTGGGGACAGAAAATGTGAAACATGACATCTGTGTCTTGTGGCTGTGGGGACAGAAAATGTGAAACATGACATGTGTGGCTGTGGGGACAGAAAATGTGAAACATGACATGTGTGGCTGTGGGGACAGAAAATGTGAAACATGACATGGTCGGCTGTAGGGACAGAAAATGTGAAACATGACATCTGTGTCTGTGGGGACAGAAAATGTGAAACATGACATGTGTGTTTTGGTGATGACAGAAAAGTGTGACCCAACCAACATAGGCATGACCCAGTGACATGACATGAACCAACCGTGACATGACCCAACAATGACATGACCCAAGAATGTCATGACCCAACAGTGACATGTACCAACAATGACATGACCCAAAAGTGACATGACCTAACAATGCATGACCCAAAAATGTCATGACCTAACAATATCATGACCTAACAGTGACAGGACATGACCCAAAAGTGACATGACCTAACAATGACATGACCTAACAATGTCATGAACCAGTGATATGATCCAACCAACAGTGACATGACCCAGTAGTCAATGTGTCATCCACTTAAACTTATCTCACTCAAACAACAAAGAATGACCTAAATTTTGTACCTACACTTATCATAGCACGTGTACCTACACACAGAAGGAAAACAACAGCACACACAAGTTTCACTGCCGTTCACCACCAGCTAACTTTAAACTAGATCTATAAGGGTAAACAAAGAGCGATAACCCTCAACTTAGTGTACCAAGGGGAGGTTACCTGTCGTCAACTTTAGGCTGGGCTCTCAAATCTTGTCGGGTTATGCAGTTACAGCAATGCGTTGGTGCCCATTTTTTGGACAAAGTCTGACCCATAGCAGTGGACTACATCCGATTATGTAGCAGAAGTGAATGACCATGCGATAATCACGAACAGGCATTTGCAATGTCCAGATAGAAACGAAATCAATAGTTCCGGGAATTATTTTTCTTTCTAAAAATAGCACAAGGTATAAATTTCCTCAGAGTAACTTCCCTTTGTTTGTCACTTTCACAGCTGACGATGGTTTTATTTACAGAATAGTTACCTGTGTGGATACTTGTTCTATTTATAGCTTTAACGTGAGTGCTTTTTTTTTGTAATAAAGAAACAAGGAAAATACGTCAGAATTGATTATGCGTTAGCAGCAGCGTAGCTACAAGTGAAGACGCCTGAGGTTAAGAGGGTGGGGTGGGGAGGGGGGAGGGGAGCTAGTGGTTTCGCTCATGCTGCCAGCACTATGTGTGTATATCTAAACAGGCAGAAAATGGTTGACACAGAGACAAGTCGCTTGGTCATGTTTTTTTTTTTTAACTGACGAACAACTAAACGTAGAAATAGTTTTGTCCATAACACAGATGCCATGGGTAGTGAAACTGTAAATGCTAATGTTTGTAGAGGAATGGTCATACAACGGGCTATTGGTACAGGCGATATGGTCATACACCGGACTGTACCATGGTACGGTCAAAGCCTAATTGTACCTATGTACGGTACGACAGACGTACGGTACTACAGCAGATCAGCAACAGGACACACGGACGCTCATACACCGGACTGTACCTTGGTACGGTCTTACATCGGACTGTACCTTGGTACGGTCATACACCGGACTGTACCTACGTACGGTCATGCACCGGACTATACTTTGGTACGGTCATACACCGGACTGTACCTTGGTACGGTCATACACCGGACTGTACCTTGGTACGGTCATACACCGGACTGTACCTTGGTACGGTCATACACCGGACTGTACCTTGGTACGGTCATACACCGGACTGTACCTTGGTACGGTCATACACCGGACTGTACCTTGGTACGGTCATACACCGGACTGTACCTTGGTACGGTCATACACCGGACTGTACCTTGGTACGGTCATACACCGGACTGTACCTTGGTACGGTCATACACCGGACTGTACCTTGGTACGGTCATACACCGGACTGTACCTTGGTACGGTCATACACCGGGCTGTACCTCCGTACGACAGACGTACAGTACCACAGCAGATGAGCCCCCACAGGGACAAGCCTGATGACATCGATCCAGCCAATCACATCCCGAGTTGCTCCAAGGCGCGGCTATTTTAATACTAGCAGTCTGGGCACATCCTGGTCCTTCAGGACCGGGGATCACGTGATCTCTAGAATAACGGCTGGTTGGAGTACTTAGGTGAAGTGATTGGATCACGTCATAACATCTCGACAGTACAACGGCTGTAGTGAGAACAGAAAGGGGGGGGGGCACAAAGTTTTTTTCGGGTATTACTTCTCCTGATCCTGTCTACCGCCCACTTCCCTGGACGAAATGAAATAAATATATAATCTTAAGTGCGCCCCCTGTCTGAAAGTTTAAGACCCCCTCCCCAAAAAAACCCCCAGAGAAAATGTCTGAAAGAAACCCTGGGGGGGGGGGGGAGAGAGACACTAGTGTGGGATCCTTAACTAAATAGTCTAGTCAATGTTACATTCAAAGTTAAATACTGGAAGTTAAATCTGAAGTGAGTGCTGTAATTTTTAAATGCGGACTGAAAATATTTTACACACACACACACTATATATATATATATATATATATATATATATATATATATATTGCACATGCATTAACGACCATAGTTGTTCTTATCACTAATCAATTCGCTGCCACATTACGCTTGTAATTAAGAATATTAAAACAGTTGCAAGTTGAAAAAAAAAAGTTATTTTAGTATCGATTTCTCGAAATTAAACTAAACATACGGAGAGAAGGAAAAACAATCTGTATTTTATTTTTATCTTTAATGTAATTTTCTCCAACTTGTTTTTACCTCTCGCAAACTCATTGATTAGATTTTCATAATTACTCTAAGATAAAACATCTGCTTCTATGCAAGACAGAGACGAGATACACTAGCCCAGTGTCAACTATAACCAGCATATCACATAACAGAGGCGGACAGGACAGTGTAAGGTTGAAAATTATAGCTGCAGTTAGGTGTATGCAAATAGTAATGAAACATGTATCTACACAAATTAAAGGCAATTACAGGTATAGTGAAAATTTCGACCCAAGGTCTTCGTCATCGCACAATAGTTTGGTGAAAGACTATGTCATTGTTAGTCTTTTTTTTGCCTAGGTTTTGACCATACTGTTGTATTCTGACAAGGACCTTAGGCTTAAACGTTAACTGCACAAGATTGACAAATCTTATTAGAAGGTTGGTATGGTCTGTGTCTTACGTGAATTGTTGTTGTGTGTTTTAATCCACAGGGACAGTTAATTTAAAGTGTGTGTGTGTGTTGTATGTACCCAGTGGTGTGTGTGTGTGTTCTATGTGCCAATTGATGTGTGTATATGTTGTATGTATCCAGTGGTGTGTCTGGGTTGTATATACTAACTGGTGTCTGCTTTATGTACTTGTGTTGTGCAAGCATATGACGGCGTGTGTCAGACATTAAAGTTAATTATAAGACACAACAAGTGCTGAATTAACCTAACGCCCTCGCCTTCAGGACGTTTTAAATTGCACATCAGATCATCGATTTTTTTTCCGCCACGAGTAGTCTCCCTGGAATATAAACGGAAATACGCGCGCTCTACCTCAGTTCTCTCCCTTCCTCTGTATTTGTCTATACAACACCCCAGCAGTTTTCTCCCTTCCTGTGTTTTTGTGTATACAACACCCCAGCAGTTTTCTCCCCTTCCTCTGTTTTTGTCTATACAACACCCCAGCAGTTTTCTCCCCTTCCTCTGTTTTTGTCTATACAACACCCCAGCAGTTTTCTCCCCTTCCTCTGTTTTTGTCTATACAACACCCCAGCAGTTTTCTCCCCTTCCTCTGTTTTTGTCTATACAACACCCCAGCAGTTTTCTCCCCTTCCTCTGTTTTTGTGTATACAACACCCCAGCAGTTTTCTCCCTTCCTGTGTTTTTGTGTGTACAACACCCCAGCAGTTCTCTCCCTTCCTCTGTTTTTGTGTGTACAACACCCCAGGAAGGCGGTAGAAAATAAAAACAAATCGGGCGCACCCGAGCGCTGCTTTCAATTAGGGACAGGGCATAGAGAAACCTCATAAATAATCGATAGAGTCTCGGCACCAAAGTTATACAGTATCCTTCAAGACAGGTATTAGAGACATGTTTGCTAAAGACAGGTATTAGAGACATGTTTGGTATCTTTAAAGACAGGTATTAGAGACATGTTTGGTAAAGACAGGTATTAGAGACATGTTTGGTAAAGACAGGTATTAGAGACATGTTTGGTATCTTTAAAGACAGGTATTAGAGACATGTTTGGCAGTATCTTTAAAGACAGGTATTAGAGACATGTTTGGCAGTATCTTTAAAGACAGGTATTAGAGACATGTTTGAAGACAGGTATAAGATTTCGAACACTTCTAGCGAGCATGGAGTCAGTTTTCGGATCAATGAAGATGGGTTTCAGAATTCCATGCATCTTGTAAAGTCAAGCGTCACTTCAGTGATGACGGCAGAAACGGTCGTGTCTTTTGTATTGATACAACTAGACGACAAGAGTGAGCACTTGAGTTACCGACGTGTGTAGGAATAGGCAACTAGGAGAGTGAAGGAAGATTGTACCAATTAATATTTTCACGGAGTGGGCAAAACAACAAGGCTACTATAAAAAAACAACTGGATGAGAAACAATAGTTTTCACGTTCTGGATGTTACAGAAAACTTAAATTATCGAATGGGAGTTGGGGGGGGGAGGGGAGAGAGAGAGAGAGAGAGAG